GAGAGAGAGAGAGAGTTTTGAGGTTTTCAATGGCTAGGCAAGTTGGGTTTGAGTATGATCCTCAAATAAAGGATTTTTCTTGTTCTGAAATTTATTGGGTTGATTTCTGGAAGTCACTACCGGCATGTGTGTGTGTGTGTGTGTGTGTGTGTTTGTATAGTTCGAGATGCTGGATAATTTTGTAATAGCCATAACACATTTGTTTCTAGCCTAAAAGTGCTGTTAGCTTAACAAAAATTAAGACTTTTTAACATGTGCATTTTTAATCAAACTGCAATGCTTCTGGAAGAAGAAGAAAATTATATGAGTGCACCACACTAGCTCACTTGCCTGACATGGCACGTCGAGAAAAAATCATCATAAACACAAAGTTACTATTTTCACGGAATCCTTATAGAATTAAATCATTATTTATCTTTTGCGCTGTTTTTTTTTTTTTTTGGATTTAAAATCTGCCTTAACACCTGACAATTAAGTGTTATCTCATTGTATTTTACAGATGTGAGGAGAGTTTTTAGTTTTGGTTTAGTTAATAATATACTGGTAAAGTATAGCTATAGTTGTCTGCTTGGCCAGAATTCATGTTTTGGTTTGTTGTATGGAGTTTAGATCCTTAAGTTTTTTTTTTTACTACCGCTGCAGGTGAAAACTTCTACTGATTCAAGAAGTTTAAACTATCACCGCACTAGGTATGGCGCCAAAGAAAAATTTGATAAATGCCTACAAGGCAATGAAGGACCTGGGGTATTCTCAAAATATTGTGAGGCCAATCGTGAAACAGCTTCTCACATTGTATGAAGATAACTGGACTCTCATTGAAGAAGATAACTACAAAGTTCTTATTGAAGCTATTCTAGATAGCGAGGACAATAAGGTGAGCCGTGTGCTGACTTTCTACTTATGTGGATTGTGAGTAACCTGAAATCATCTAAGTTTTTGCATGGACCATTCTCATTTATGACATGTCCTGATTCTTTTTTCCTTTTTCCTAGTATATCTCTTTTGGGAAGTGTACAGCATGTTTCTGGATATATATAATATACATATATATTTTATTTCAGGCACAAGGCACTAAGTCAAGAAAACCGAATAGAAGGTCCGAGGATGAGGCTGAAAAAGACGAGCCACTCGTAAAGAGGCCTCGACTGAACAACCTCCAGAAAAATCAGTCATCATCAGAACCGATTAATACTTTCACGACAGGCTGTAGCATTGAGGTCAAGAATGAAACCCGTGGCAAGCAAACATTGGCTGAGGTTACTCCCGAGAAGCATCAGGATGAAGATAACGAGCTCAGTGGTTCACACATCCGAAAGTACTATAAACGCAAGTGCAAGAATTCGGTGGAGCAAGAAACGTCATCTGAACTCAATTATGATGAAGAAATTGACAGATATTGCTCCATGGTGCCCAACGAGAACATGGAATATTTTGGAGAGGAATCTGATTTACGTCCTCCTGATTTTACTTGGATGGGTGATAATGAGACCCCGGGTGATGATAGTTTCGAGGTTCCTCTTGCGGTGCTTCCTCCAGGTGAATTTACATCTCGTCAAGTGATTTAGTCCTGCTTTGATTCTTGTTTATGTCTTTTTTTCCCTTTTAAGCTTGTTCTGTTTTTATTCTAATTAATAGTGAGGATTTCATAATTATTCATTGTACTATGGTTTTCACAGAATCTGCTAATTCTGATATTGACATAGGATTTTACATCAACATTTTTAGATATTCTCTTATCTAGTGAGTGATGTTGATCTGTTATTAGATGATATCAATGTCATGATTGTTTTCCATTATGCATTCATGTTAGGTAGTCCTTTTGTTTTCCTCAATCACTGAGCTGAGCTTACAGTTGTTTGTTTTTTTATTTTTGAGTTTTGTCATGGTGCTTATTTAGCAAGTTCTTGATTAATGAATTTATTCTTGTGTTCACAGATCCTCCTATCCTCCTACTGCAACAAAGCTCATACGAGAATTGCTCCGATGCCAAAGAGAGTTGCTTTAAATATCCCGAAGTGATCAATTTGGATCCAGACGACACATGTAAGTATACTTTCTCATTGTTTTGTGCCTCATCGTTTCTTATCTGCTCTACGACACTAGTTTTGGTAGTGAATGTGAAGGTTCGTGTTTGGGGTTGATCAAATCAAATTGATTTTTCATGTGACAAGAAGTGTCTTATACTCTGCTCCCAGATAATGGATGGACCTGATTATTACTTCTCTTAAAAAAAATTTAAGTTTCTTCTTTGTGTTGTAAGGTTGGCACACATTCTGCCAGTTTCAGTTGCATGTTCAATTTTCTTATGAGTTAATAGTCTATAACCTTTTCTGTGCAATATTCTATCTGCTCAGGCACAGATCTTGACATGCTTCCTAAAGACTCTTGTTCCCTTGGAAATAGTTCTAAGTTGGAACAAATTCATTCAGAACCTGTGATCTATAAAAATCCCGATGCCGAAAAGATTGAACAGGACGGTCAAGATTCTCTCAAGCTCGATCTTGCCACCTCATCGAAAGGCGATTCCAAAATTTCAATCTCCATCAATGCTTCAGTAGGACCAGAATTTCGTGTCCCGAATATAGAGGAAGTTTTGAAGCTGGTCGAGGATCAATGCATAAGGTCGTACAAAATCCCTCAAGCCGGCTTTTCTTTGCTGGGAATCATGAATGAAGTTTGCCAACGTTTTTTAGCCACGGGTACCACCTCAGCAAATACTGAAGAACTGGGACCTGAGAATGAAATATCGGCTCTCGGTGTTTCAGAAGAACCTCATTCGGAAATTGGTTCATACGAGGACACTAACTTGCAGCAGCTCAGTCTTATCAGTGTGCCAACCATTTCGAATGATCCAGTCACGATTAAAAACGTTTTTGAGGTTTCATCTGAAATTTCGAGGTTTTTCGGGTCGGGCAACATGGGCTTGAGTCGTCCCATGACGTACTTAAACATGATGGATGCGAGTGGTGGTCTTGTAATGACTGATGGAGAAATTAAGGAAATAGATCCGAGTGTCGCATGTTCTTCCCACGAGTTAGTGGTTTACCAGACCAAGGCCCGTGATATTTATGTTCCAGACATCACTAAAGGTCACGAAGCTTGCGAAATTTCCTTAATAAATGAGATAAATGAAGTTAAGGGTCCCAAATTCCAGTACATTCCAAAAAGCGCAACGTACATGACTGCATGCATGACATTTCCACTTGCGCGTGTATCTGGAAATGATTGCTGTTCGGATTGCCTCGAGGACTGCTTATCTTTGGAAAATCCTTGTGCTTGTGCTGGAAAAACAAGGCATGAGTTTGCTTATACTCAGGGGGGCTTACTGAAGGAAACTTTCTTGAATGATTTCATTTGTAAGAGTCAATCGTTGTCCAAACGCGATTTTTTCTTCTGTCAAGACTGCCCTCTGCAAAGATGTGAGAACTCATTAAGAAAATGCATGGGCCACATGACTCGGGATTTCATAAAGGAGTGCTGGTACAAATGTGGTTGCAGCCTCAGTTGTGGAAATCGAGTTGTCCAGCGAGGAATCACGGCTAAGTTGCAGGTCTTTTTATTTCCTCCCTTCTGTGTCTGTTCTGCTGTTCAACATCAAGTGAATAACATCTGTTTGTGGTCAATGTTTTTGTTCTTAAATCCCCCTTCCCCACCTGTGTTTTATGTAATATTAGGATGAAAACTTAACCTTGTGAACTTTATCATGTTACTTGATGGGGACAAAAATCACCACCTTAGGTTAATTCTAAGTAAAGAAAAAAAAACACTTCTTTTTTACAACTTAAACGAGTATTGTATGAATATTTTGGCTAAACTAGGGAATATATATTTTTAACTAACTCTAATTTTTAACAGCCATCTTTTTGAATTTTACCATAGAACAAGTGTGTTGGTGTCAAACTTTGTTTTCCATTTGTTGTTTAGGTGTTTATGACGCCCGAAGGCAAAGGATGGGGTCTTAGAGCACTGGAGGACTTACCGAAAGGCGCTTTTATATGCGAATATGTAGGAGAAGTTGTCACAATAAAAGAGCTATTAGAAAGAAACGAGAAAAATAGCAACGAAAACAACCATACCTTCTCTGTTGTACTCGATGCCGATTGGAGTTCGAAGCCTGTTTTGAAGGAAAACGAGGCTCTTTGTCTGGACGCGTCCTTTTATGGTAATATCGCGCGGTTCATTAATCACAGGTATTGGTCCTGATTTTTAAATTTCACTTGAATCAAGCCCCGCTATTTGCATGAACTGTTTTTGTAAGCATGAATGTTCTTTTTCATGGTCATGTTTCACATTTTGTTGCTTAGGTGTTTCGATGCCAACTTGGTTGGGGTCCCTGTTGAGATGGAGTCTCCAGATCATCACTATTACCATGTACGGTAAATCTGTCCTTTTCTCGTCTTTGAGGTTTGGCCTAATTCTGTAAAGGTCCATGTAGCAAAAACTATTTCAAAGTCTTCTTGTAATTTTGAAGTGTGCTTGGTGGCATTTTTGCAAATAGAACCCCAAGGGTACCTAAAGCTTTTATAATTAACTCTATAGAATTTATATTATGAGATTTACCTTTCTTGCAGCTGGCTTTCTTTGCAACAAGGGAGATTAATGCTTTGGACGAATTAACTTGGGTTAGTTCATTTTTCTTCGGTCATGTGTCATATTGACTTTGGTTTTTGATTTTTCTGTATAAACTCCCAAACCGTACGCTATATATATAATACGCGGTAAATACATTTACCCCTTTCATGCATGCAGGACTATGGAGTTGAATTTGATGATCGTCGTCTGGTGAAAGCTTTTGAGTGCCGGTGTGGTAGTAAATTCTGCAGGGATCGTTCATCTGGGAGGAATTTGGGGACCTTTTAGTTGTGTTGAAATTATGAAACGAATTTGAAATTTGTGATCTTTTTTGGTGTAGAAAGTGAGTGGCTGCTCAGATTCTTGAAGTTTAGAACCAAACTGATGCAGATGTTGCCTTTTGAGTTTTTGGATCATGCATGTTCACTTGCTCGTTGTTACTTGTGATAAGGTTTATTGTCTGTTAAGGTTCTAATGTTTACCTTTTAGCATTTATTTTGTCCTTTTACCTTCATAAAATTGAGCGAGATTTGAAGGTTTAATAAGGTTGCTTTATGCTGATGGCTGAGAAATGATTTTTTTTTTTTAAATTCGCCTGCTACGGATACAGAGTTTATGCTGATGCTTTCATTGACTTATAATATTTTTTGATTTGATGAGTGTTTGTAATTATTTAAAAACGTGTTCGGGATTATAAACTTATTTTGGGGGGTTTTGGAGGACCAAATTAAGGAAGTCAATCATGCTTTGTTATAGTATGGTAGTGGTGTGTAAAGAGACCTCGCCCGGGTTTGAACGACTTGGGTATGCTTCCGAACTTATTCGAAGGACTGCAAAATGAGTTGGTAAAATGGATAGGTATGAGTTTGGAGTTAACACTGACGATCAAGTCAATTCACAGTGATGGAGAAGACGATGAATATGTAAGATTTTTTGAGTATTTAGAGTGTAGAGTGTAAATGGACATACTCACCCCTTTATATAGTGGTGTTACCTTGTTTCTTAAGGTTGCTTGAGTGCCCAAATCGCCCGTTCGTATTGCCTGAGTGCTCGAATTGCCAAATTTTGTTAGGTCTCATTGTCCAATTCACGACAATTATATTCTATCATATCTATTAGTTTGTCTAATCGTGTGACTGACCCGATTCACCTCAAGGTGGAGTGTGTTCTGCGCTAAGTTTGTATGTTGTCCCCCAAGTCGATCCATCGACCGTCATACTTTCAGGTCGAGTTTCTACCAGACCGTCTGTCCTCGCTCGACCTGTCGGCGATCCTCATTGTTTGCGACGTCACCATCGCCATGATGACTGTCCGACTTCTCTAGCCTTTGATCTCTTATCGACCTCACGGTTTACCCGGTTCGACTGGTCTGCCTCTCGGGTGAAGTAGACTCGGTAGGGTATCTCATATCATTTAGTACCCCCACTTTAGTCGAGGTAGGATAACTCGATCTAAGAGTAATTTATGCCATTTTTTATCCATTTATCGAGCTCACAACTTGTCTAGCCGACTTTAGAACTTGTCGTCCATTCGTTTAATTAACACACTACTTTCGACCTAAGGCCACAATTTTTGAGTTTAAAATTCAAATTAAATTCCTCACACTTTGTCAGGTGAAATCTATTGTCTTTCCCCATTACGATGACGTATTGCCCTATTAGGATGACGTCTTGCCCACGTGAATGCCTCGCAGTATGTGTCGTCATTGTTTGAGAGTTCGCATAGAACCTTTGATGAGCGCTTGCTCCCAATTTGGTACCTTGTCATAGCATATAAAATCTATTTCCTCTCTCTCTTCTAGCTTAGGATTCGTAAAATCGTTTTGTAACTAACAAATTCTATGTCACCCCCAGATCCTCTTGTAGTAATATCAGAAGTCTCTCGCCTCTTCTCGTTAATGTTCTCAATATTAAAAAATTTATTGTCGTATAATGCCATTATTATTTATAACACTTATAGAAGCAATTTTATTTTTTACCTAATAAGTATTTTATTAATATTATTTATTGATGTAATTAATTTAAAATTATATAAGCAAATTTAATGTTTATTAGAAATATGATTATATGGAATGTAATCTATTAATATATAATAAGGATTAACATAATTCACTTTTAGAAACTCTTTCCCGCCAATTTCATTAATTATTGCCTAAAAATAATAAATTAAAAAATTCGCTATTAATTAGCATATTTGTTTTTCCGATATTTTGTGTTTATTTTTTAGGAATACAATAAAAAACTATTATATTGGTAGCTAATATGGAATCAAAATCTAAATAAATCTCCTCTTTTTGTGGCTGCATATAAATCTATTCTTTTCAATCCCCATATCCTGCGTTAATTAAGGAGTCTGCAAAAAAAAAAAAAAGATTCAGCTAAATCAATTCATCAACTAATTAAATAATATAAATAATACATTTGGGAGATTCATTAAAGTAGGACTCTCATGTAAATCAAGTGATCAACTAATTCTTTTTTCGTTTCACGCAAGAAAAATCCTATACCATTCGATTTTTATTCCCTTTCCATAATTTTTTTTATTAAAATACAATCCCAAAAATCATATTAATATAAATTAATATAAATTAATTGATTCCTATATATATATAGATAATGTATTTTATCAACTTCTCCAATTCCTTCACATAAAAAAAAACGAAAAAAGAACTTTCGCAATATAAAAAAAATAGCACTATTATTTGATACACTCCATGCAGTAAATAGGTCTAACAAGCTACAATTTCGCACTCATATTATATCTATAAGTTAAACATGTTGTGTATATATGTGTGTGTTGAACTTTTTGTTAGACGTGGTTTAAATATAAAATAATTTAGAAAAATTTAGGTGACCTCGCATTTTTTAAGAATAATATAGAACATTTTAGATAATCTTACATATGTTATACAACAATTTATGTGTTTTTACTATTTTAAACATACATGTTTAATGTTCTTTTAATAAAGATAAAAAACTATAAAAATATTAGTGAATATTATTTAGCTAATCAAAAATTTATAATCAATTATTCCGCTTTTTCCTAATCTATAATTTTATTTGATTTATAAAATATAAATTAACAGATATAATTATAGGTTAATCACTGAAATGATAACTACATATATATATATATATATTTATATTAAATTGTAAATATTTCTTATAACACCTACATTAAGAAATTTCAAACTATGATTTATTTTTCGTTTAGTTTCATATCGTTGTGTGTTTTTTTTTTTTACTTCCATCTCTTTTCTAAAAACTTCAAAATATTTTTGTATATTATTCAGTTTGTATATATAATATTAAATCAAACTTTGTTTACAAGCTTCAGTTTCGCACTCATATTGTATATATAAGTAATTATGTTGTGTATATATATACATATGTGTGTTGAAATTTTTTTAGATATGTTGTACATATAAAATAATTTAGAAAAATTTAGGTGAGCTCACATTTTTTAAGAATAATATAAAATATTTTAGATAATATGACATATGTTATATAACAATTTAGGTGTTTGAATATTTTAAACATACATACTTAATGTTCTTTTAAACAAGATAAAAAAACTATAAAAATATTAGTGAATATTAGTTAGATAATCAAGTATAATCGATATAAAATGATAAACTAACAACTCATTTGTCGAACTGCCATATAAGTTACCATATTATAAATAGATCCATCTTAGGCTTCTATTTAAGTTCCAGCGGCACCAGTTCCTTCTTTTTTTTAGGGTTCCATTTAACAGTCAAGGTCAATCTTTTTATTTAAAAAAGTTTAAAAACATGAGTTAATTTTATTTAGCTAATGAAGTATAATGATTAAATGATGAACTAACAGCTAATTTGTCTGACTGCCTAAGTAAAGTAACATATTATAAATAAATCCATCTAAGGATTCCACTTAAACTCCATCAACACCAATTCCTTGTAATGTTAGTGTTCCATTTAAGAGTCAGGGTCATTATTTATGTGCGTTGGCATGTTCTTAAAGAAATCGGTTCTTGGTCACTACCAATTATATGTTGTTGTTTCACGTGTACGACAAAAGTAGGGCAGTCGTCGGGTTAGGGGGGCTGAGAAGATGCTTTTTGCCCAATAGCTATTGTATTAATTAGAATGACTGACGACTATCGTTTTAGAGTCGTGTATTGGCATGTTCTTAAAAAAAAATCAGTTTTTGGTCACAACCAATTATCTGTTATAGTTACGAATATAAGTAACAGATAAAGAAGAGTCAATGTCAACCTTTATTTTACGTTGACATGTTCTTAAACAAATCGATTTTTAGTCACAGACAATTATGTTGTTTGTTTCACGCGTAAGTAATAGAAAATGGTTGAAAATATTAGTTTGTGGGGACGACAAGTTGCTTAATTATCAAACAAATATTGTTGTGTATAATGAAGTTTTTAATAATATATTTTTTTCATGAGGAACATTTTATTATTTGACAATTCCCTTATGAATTATCACTCTTTTATTTAATACATTTTAAATTTAATATTTCCCCAAAATAAATACAACTTGTGCATCGCACGGGTTACATACTAGTATAAAATGAAATGACTAAAACCTTAACTGAATAAACCCATCATTCAAGGAAACATTTAATGTTACCGGATTTTATGGTAAATAAAATTCAAATAATTTCCCAAAATGACATGCAATTAATTTTGGCAAATTTTTTTTGTTACTATTTTTGGTAAATAGGTTCTCTTTTTATATATATAGATATTTATTTTTTTAATATAGAAAAATAATAATACTACATACTTTGGTTCATCATAATACTCAATATTCAAAAATTTATTGTCGTATAATGCCATTATTATTTATAACACTTGTAGAAGCAATTTTATTTTTTATCTAATAAATATTTTATTAATATTATTTATTGATGTAATAATTTAAAATTATATAAGCAAATTTAATGTTTATTAGAAATATGATTATATGGAAGGTAAAATAAAATGAAATCTATTAATATATAATAAGGATTAACATAATTCACTTTTAGAAATACTTTCCCGCCAATTTCATTAATTATTGTCTAAAAATAGTAAATTAACTAAAATCAATGTAATTAATGTACATAATTTTTTAGTCAAATATTTATGGTTATTCCTTTATTAGTTGAATTTAAATTTAGGATGATTTAGTTTTATGGAAACAAATATGTGGTATTATAGAAACTTTCGAAATCCTTAGTTTAAATATATAGACTTGATTGAGCAATTATAGAGAATTAATCGTTAATCTTTATATCTATATTATATTT